GAAAGTCACTTTTACATGCATTCAATTGCAAGATTGGTTTTCGCTGTCAACTGAAAATGTGTTCGGTCGAAGAAGGCGCCACACAATAGAAAGAGTTAATCAGAAATGTCTCGGACAATTGCATGTGAACAACAGCACCACCACCACCACCACCAACCACCACCGTCACAACAATAAATCGGACATGAGTGTGAATGCATCAGCATTTTCGAGTTTATTCATTTGTTTGTTATAATGACTTTGAATGAACTTCGCACGCCACACGCGTTTTACATCGCTTTCATCGATGTAGTCATGCGCGCAAAAGCACATGTACTCACATGTTGTGTGTGGTTTTTTCCCCCAAACCGATGAAGAGGGAAAAAAATGCAATGCCAAAAGGATTACAGTCGATTTTCGGGAGCTAATAACACGCAACTGTTTCTCAGGATATTTTCGTGGGCCCAGACAAAAAAAAAATCTTGAGAATTTTTTGAAGAAACCTTGAGAACGATACGGTTGTTGATGAATCATGATTATGAAATGTGAATCAACTCTCATATACGGCGTGAATCAACCTGCGGATCGGCATGATTAACAAAAGCCATTTTAAATTGCACATTTTCAACAAGATTTTTCGGGCCGATTTAATCAAAAATGCGTTTAAATCGCTCCAAAACGCGTTTAAATCACTCCAAAATTGAAACGATCCCAGCGAAATCTCGCATGAAATGTGCATCACTTAAAATAATTGCAGCTTGGTGCTTCACGGTTCTTACCGTGATTCCCTGACGATTTTTATTTTTATTTTTTTCTTCTCTGTTTTTCATTTATTTTCTGGCAAGAAGATTCGGATTGGATTTAAACAAACACTTTCGTGGGTTGAACATTTTCGTACCTTTAAAAGGCTGCCTTTTTTAACCGATTTTTTCGCCGCATTTAAGGTTTTTTCTCTTTTTTTTGCCATCAAACGCATCTCCGAACAACAGTGTTTTCCATTTAAAGTTCAAAGTATAAGATTCAACCAAAATTGACCCCATTTAATGTTCACGTCAATTAAAATTGAACGCTGTTTTTTTTGTGTGTGTTTCATATTCAATAATTGAAATTCGCACGTAAAATATTGCGCATTAAGTAATGCACATTGTACATTTTACACCAAAACATCGCTGCGACACCGACCGTGTAGCCACACAAAAAAGCCGTGTTTTCCATCGATATACATTTTTATTTGTCGATTAAAGCGGGACACGAAGAATGTTTTCTGGAAATATTTTCGTAAGCAAACGACGTTCAAGAATTTCATAATAGTAAACATTGGGCACAGGAAAATGGAAACACGGTGCGGGCACCGACCGAACAACAAAATATGCGAAGCAACCAAATTCTTTTGACGGATTTTTTTGAGTCGGGTGCATTCTTCATGTGTGTGTTTTTTTGTTGTTGTTTCTGATGGGAGGAAAAACGGAAAATATCTCATTCGTTGGCGATACGCGGTTTTAATTTTGACACAGCCTTCAATTACGCATCAATTGCTGCCACAAAAATGATTTGTTAAAATACGACGGTCCCAATGCATTCACATTAAGCAAATGTGTGATGTTAACGTGGAAATTGGCTTTGTTTTTTTTCTCCTCTCGGTTCAAATCGAAGCGAGGAAAAAAGAGAGAGAGAGAGAGAGAGAGAGAGAGAGAGAGAGAGAGAAGAATTATAACGAAGCAGCCAAGTGCTATACAAAAGACATGCATTTAAGTGAGCCGATGAAGTAGCATCATAAAATTCACAAATTAAGCCAAATTACTGGCCTTTAATGTATCTTGTTAAAGTTCCGTTTTTTTCTCTTCGCTTCTCACATTGGCGCGGCCACTCTGTAATGATCCTTCGTTCACGCTGCATAACAACATTTAATCATAATTTCAACGACTGAATGATAATGAAATGATGGAGCTCGCAGGCAGGTATTACTTATATTTGCAACGGGGATATTTATATGTATTCACAGTAGTCGTTGTCGTTCTCGCTCTCTCGATCGCTCGCTTCCACGACAAAACCATATTCAAAGCGATGGCAATTTATAATAAGGGCCCCGCAACATCGTTCACTTTATTTTCTTCGCTTTTTTTTCTCTCGCAATCACAAATGAGATCATTTGCTGTCGGGCACAGCACGGAAGTGACCAACCACTTCAAACAGTTTACATAGAAAATTGAATGGTCGCTGGCCGTTGTTGCTGTTGGTGGTGGCATTTTTTTTTCTCGGTTTCTCATGTGAATGAAACTCACTGTTGATTAGTTAGACAGTCATCAAGCCACTTTTGCAGCGCGCGAGAAAAAAACAACGATTGCAGCCAGCACACGCCTTCGTGTGTCCATGTGAGAAATCAGCACACATTTCTACATCAATCCATTTACGGCACGACATCAATCGTTTATGAACAAATATGACAGGTTTTTTTTGTTGTCGTCGTCGTTGTTGTTGTTGTTGTTGCTGAATAAGTAGCGGTGGAGATTGGGAAAGAAAATTTCGTGATGATGTGATGAGAGAGAAGGAGACCTGGATATGTAATTTCATATTTTCGTCAGATTTCGATTGATTTTTCGGTGTGATTTGTCGTTTGAAATGGAAAATGGGCGATTTTTGGAAGTGTGAATTTTCAGATGGAAAACAAACGACGGAAAGTAAAGACTTTTGCTATAATTTGATCAATTTTTTTCCTTGGAAATTGTGAAAAATGTCAATTTTTTCTATTTTTTTTATCAATTTGTTCTGTTTTGTTTTTGTTTTTTATTGGATGCTTGTTTATTTTTCGTGTTCTTTTTCCTTTTTACTTCCAACATATTTTTTTCCAAATGAAATTGTTTAAAAAAATTTATTCGCAATTTTTTTTTCTCAGTTTGTTGACAAGAAATCGTTTTGTGAATGGAAAACCATGCGCAATTTTTTTTTGTCCATTCCAAAAATTGCTCTCAGTCTGTCACAAATCAAAATCGCATGAAATTCACTTATTCATCGCTTTAATCAATTTCCGTTGGTTGGCTTAACATCGTGCGAAATTCCGATATCACGTTGTAATGGCCATTGCAACGGCTTTCGAATACGCTATCAAAAGCGATAAATATTATATGCCATTTAAGTGTTTTGTTCCAAATATGTAAAGCGTCATTGGCACATGGTGTTAGATGATACGTAAATGGAACTGGCAAGCGTACGTTGAGCATGCTTATCATGCGACTTGTCACCGATTCTTGAACAAACAGCGCACACATACTGTGCAGTATGTGTGTGTGTGTGTGTGCATTTGTGAGTGCAATTTTCACTCTGTACATCTCATTAAGACAAGAAACCGACGAGAGGTGTATTAAATGCCAAACCTGGTTGGCAACGCTGGCAAAAAGTCGAAAATGTTCACTATAACGAAATGGAAAATGAGAAAGACACACTCAGAGGGGGAGAGAGAGAGAGAGAGAACGAAGAAAAAAGGAGGAGAGAAACGAAGTAGAGTTCCTTATGTGATCAATGGCAATACAGAGAGGCAAAAAATATATATAATAGCGATGTATCTTCCCGACTGTGTGACGGTACGGAGTGTACACCTGTCCTCGATTCCCACGATGATCTTCTATTCACGCTGAAATATTAGATCAAATAGTAAAAACGACCCAAAACTATTTCTTTGTTTGCAAAGAATAATATTATCCTCACGTGACCGAGAGAACTGCGCATAAAATAAAATACAACCTAACACATCAAATCAACGGTGATTGCAGTTAGACCTTTTTTTTTCATCAAAAGAAAAAAAAAACAAAATGGTTTTTGTTTTCTTGTGTAAAGAGAATGAAAACGGAATAATGTGAGAGACGACGCAACAGTTCCACTTAAATGTGATTAATCGTGCTGTTCGATCTCGTTAACCGTATTGATCTGAGTGTGATTTGTTTAGGTGGGAAAATCGTCATTTTCAATCTTCTCGCCTTGTCGTTTCTTTTTTGTCAACAAGTGTTTTCACGCAGCGAATCACAACATTTGTTTCGTTAATATATTCGAATTCCGTTATTGATTTTGGGCTCTCGTTCAGTTAAATTTATATGCCGACGATTTCGTCTCTGAATGAAAAGGACGGCTTGAATGTTTCTTTTTTCACTCTATGACTTTTCGCTATTTGAATAATTAATCGAATTGCGTGTTTGAATCGCTGTTAAAATCGATCTTATTTGTTTAACTTGGAATTGATTTGTCAAAAACATCGAAAATATGTTGAAAATTTGAATTAAATTTTTAAAAAAAATTTCATCTTTTCCAATAAAACTTATTAAATTGATTTGATCTGGTTTTCATTCATACCAATATAACATTGAGTTTTGAACAATCCATTTCGAGTGAAAATTGGTAATTAAACGCCAATTCGCCGCTGATTAATCGATTTTTGCATAATTCAATTAATTTTAACGATCAATATTTCAATTGAACAGGAGGTTTTAATCAATTCAAAAAGACAATCAATAACCAATTAATTTCACAATCGTTGTAATTGATTTCGATCTCGTGTTGATCGCAATTTAACTGGCGATAATGACTGAAATTAATCATGTACATTTTATTGAGTCATGCGATTAAACCATTAAAATGTGGCAGAATTGAATGCAATTATGTGTTGATCATATCAAAGGCGTATGATCGTTCTTGATTAATTTTTTTTCGCACAAAATCTAAATGGTGATCAGCGAAATTACCTCGGATTCTGGACCATTTCAATTGGGCAGATCATTTTTGGACCATTTTCACCCTCTTTGGTCTCAAGAAGCAAGATCTGAAATTTCTCAATTCCCATTGTCTACGTGCAAGCAAGGCTTATTTTTTTGCTTCAAAGGATTTTTTCCAGACAAATTTCGTATTCACGGAAAAAATTCATGGATTTCGCCAAGAATGCAGATTTTTTTTTTTTGGCAAAAAGTGAAAATTTTAAATTTCTGTAAAAAAGATCTGAAAAAAATATGTCGAATCAAAATGAAGAAACCATCATGTAAATTGTCATTAAAATGCTATTTATACTTTATTATTGTCTTTTTCTCTTTTTGTCATTATCAACTAATATTTTCTTTTTTTTTTATCACAGAGAATATAACAATGAAAAATGCGTTACTTATATGCAAAACGGTTTAAAAATGAATGAGATTGATTCGAGTAAAGAAAAAAACATTACATCAACTTAAATAGTATAGTGTTTCAAAACCAAAGAAAGGAAAAAAAAACTTTAGAGTTAAAATGTTTTAATGAAGAAAAAAAACTGAGCAAACGAAACGAAACAAAGAAAAAGAAAAGAAATTTGGTCTTAATGTGCTAAATAGAGTGTTTTAAATGCTAAACTAAGGCCAATCTCACTGGATAATTATTTCCTATGCATTTATCTATCGAGTGCATTTCGTACAAAGTTCACACCAATTAACTGTTCTCTGTCTATTTGTTGTTCTTTTTGTTGTATTACTTTGAAATATAATATTTCGCGTGGAGCAAGCAAAAACGGACAAAAAAATATAACTCTAAAAGTGAAGCTAATAAAAAAAAGAAAAAAAAATTGTTGTCGAAATTGGAAGACACGACGATTATTTGCGGCTCGAAATCCATTCTACTGATTTGTCTATTCATTTTTTTTTTGGTATATTGTATACTGTTCTTGCTTATCGTTTTCTTTTTCATGTTGAAACATAATGTTTCCGATTTGTTAATAAAAAAAAAAGTATCTGGTCAGAAAAAAAATATACGATCACAATGGCTATCATTTGTTTGCGAATTGCTATTGTTTTGGTCAGATTTCATCTATGAGATAAGAACCAAATCACATTTCAGCTTGTCAATGCACGGTGGTGTGGCGCGTGTGTACGCGGTGTCCATTTACCACGGTCGCCAGACAGACGAGTCGTCAATATCAATTTTCGGCGAAATTGGTGGTGTGTTCACGCGTGTGGATGATTCCATGTGACAGTCGGGTGTTGAGTTTGGAGATCGATTTGAGTACATATGATTAACTGGATACATCATTTGGTGCTTTGGTTGTGGCATCATCGGTACGGGTGATCGTCCCTTTGACGACCAGGTCGACGATGGTGATTGACGGTGGTGGTGCACAGCGACGGCGGCGGCGGCGGCGGCAGCTACGGCATGCGCATTTATTTGGTTCGGTGATTGGATTTGAATAGCTGGCCGTTGTGGTTGTGGTGGCATTGGACTGGCTGGATATTGTTGATGCATGTGTATTGCTCCTTGATTTGTACTGGCAGCATTGCGTTCCATATGATTCATGCAACTGTTCAAGTGTTTGATGATCGGTACCGATGTCTCTTGGTCAACAACATTCAAAAAACTTGACACTTCAGCGGCACAATGACGGAAACCGGCCTTGAATTTCTCTGCATACGAATTGTCCGAACGTGCACCCAACACATTTTGGCGACGCAATGTGTGCAAATGACGAACGGTTAGCTCCAAAATATCGGCTTTTTCCAATTTTGCAACATTTTCACCCTCCTGAGAACAAAACGAAGAAAATGTTTTATTAGTCATTTGTTTGGAAAAAAATGGAATGGAATTTTTTTTTCCGAAAAATTTCGATTTGCACTTGAAAATGTCCCATTGAAATGCGCAGTTAGCATTTGTCGAGAAAATGCAACGGTGCAAGAAAATTCGGAAATTTTCGGTGAAACCAAAGAAAAAAAGTTCAAAAATTAAATTTTTTGTAAAAAATACTTACAGTTTGCAATGCATTGGTCATAAGTTCCTTGAGTTCATCCAGGCATCGATTGATGCGGGCACGACGCTTGCGTTCAAGCATCGGTTTCATCACTTTTCTATATTGGTAGGTTCTCGAGACCGGCTCACCACTTGCATCGGTCAAAATGTAATTCTGATTTGGTGCCATTTTTTTTCTGTATATAAACTGTTCGTTTTTCTTTAATTTTCCAATAAAAAAACACTGTTCGTCGATAATAAACTTCAACAAATGCACTGTGAAAAACCGTTAAAAAATATAACGTAAAATCAAATAACAAACATATGAGTTAAAAAAAATTTTAAAGTTCGGTATTGTTATTGTTTGGTTGAGAGCACAAGAGTCACACGTCTATGTTGATCTATCGCAATTTACGAAGTAATTCGTCAAAACTATGAACCGTCGTATTTATAACATGCATTCGGTTCGTGTGTATGGTGTGCGCCCCACCACATCGTCTCCGACCGAGCGCACACGTTCGCCTCTTGTCGGGTTCGTCTCTCGTCCAATGTGTGAGAACGAAAGCCGGCGTTCGTTCGTTTGGGCTCATACGTACGGTTCGTGTGCGCGCGCATATCGTGCACACAAAATGCTCATTCTTACACATAACATAACTCATAACTCCTCCTTTTCTGCATTGCATTTTTTAAACGTTGTTCGGTGTATGCCAGCCGAAGCCCGAGCTCGAGCCGAACAGTGAGCGCGCGCGGCGTGTGCGTTTCTTTGTAAAAGCGGTCACCGGTAGTCAATAAAAGACGTTTTTCTTGTTTCATTCCGATCTCTTGCTTGCTCTCTTTCCATCTCTCTGTATATCTCTGCCGCCCAGGCGTTAAGCAATAAGAACAGCAACAATAAAAACAATAATATCTACAGAGAGCGAGAGCCGAAGAAGCAAAGAAAGACGAGAGAAATAACGACGACGGCAGCACTTAGCGTGTGCGATCATTTTTGAACATCTAATGCAACACGTTCTCTGTAACGAACGCGCTCTTTCGTGTGCTATGTCCGTGTTTGGCATGTTCCTCTTCTTTATTTGTTCTCGTGTTGTTTGGATATTCTCTCGGTATGTTTCTCACTGGCAGCCAAGAGCAAGAGAGACGCGCTAGCTGCTGCTGCTGCTGCTGCTTTTTTTTACATTTTCTTTCAATGCGTACCGATGAACGTGTGCCTTTTCACTGTGTGTACGCTCGGCACAAAAGGATTGCTGCTTCTGCATTCACACACACAGTTCGATGCATGAGAATGCATTCTTTTCGATGCATCATACATTTTCGCCCATTCTTTTGGCCGCATGATATTTTCATTGGTGTTGGCCATTGATCAAATCGATGGAACAAAACATAAAATAAAACGCAGCGCGCTATGCATCAAATGATCAAGAAGCTTTTTGCCCTCGAGTGCGCAAATTCGCAAACCACTTTCTCATTTGCATTTTGGCCAAGGATTTCCTTATTTTTGCCATTTTCCCTGTCTTTCTTCTTACTTTTTCATAGCTAAAGGGTTTTTGTTGCACAAAAAGGGAATTGAGCTTGATTTCTTAATATTTTTATATTGTTCTTGTACGAATTTCTTTCTTCATTCAACGCATGAAAGGTGTTCTGGAAAGAGGAGAGAATAAGGAAGAAAAAGCGTTTTATTTTTCTGTTGCCATTACAGCGCGGCGATTACGCAAAGGCGATGGTGATTTTGATATGGAAAATCAACGACACAAAGCACTTTCACACTAGACGCTTAACACTCAATGAAATGTCGCTATAAAAACAATGAAACGATTCCATCAAAAGAAATAAATTGCCGATGGGGAGAATGAAAAGAATGAATTTTACCAGAGACAGAGACGGAGACAGAGGCTTAATTAAATATTGTCGCGTCACATACAACGATGGGAAAAAAACGAGAGAGAACACCATCAAAAGTGTATTCAACCGCGTGCGCCGTTGTGAGTACCTTTTAAAAGGCCGTCGTCTTCGTCGCCGGCATTATTATACTCGGAAATAGCGAGCCCAAAGTTATAACAACCATTTAGATTCTCGAAAATCGGTGATTCATTAAAAATTAGGCGATTTGCTACAGATGCATTTCATTCTCACTGTGCGATTCTCCACAACTACTCACTGCCGCGCTGCCTGCTTTTGACCTCTTCCGACCACTTATTTGTGTGTGTGTGTAGGTGATTATTATTATTATTATCTCGTGCGTTCGTGCGATTACCTAGCTATTTGGCTGGTTGCCGTGGCATCGGCATTGTTTCCCATCAAACTTCTTTCTCTCTCAAACTATTTAGCAAATTCTTTGTTCTTATTTTTTTTCTCTCCGTTCCGTCTGTTTTTATTACAACTCTTTTTATCTCTTTCACTCATTCGCTTCTTCCTTAATGTTCTCTCGAATTCGTCTACAACTCTTTTTTTTGCTGTGTGCTACTCACTGTAATATGCTACTTCACTTCTTGTTAGATGCTGTTGTTATGTTGTGTTCTTTTTTCGTTGTTGTTGTTGTTGCTCATGTTTAATTTTTATTTCTTCATTCGCGCCGGCGACTTTAATTTTCAATTTCTCTGCGATGGAAAGAAGAAATTTTCTCACAATGCTTTTTGTTCGGGGGGATCTGTCTCACGCATGCTTTGCGAGATGGAAGTACGTGTAGAGTAATTAGATGAATGAAATGAAATATGTGTACTGATGGCGAGAACAGCATCGAGAATACTGTAGTAACCACGGAGAAGACGGCGATGATGATGACGACGACGACGACGACGACGACGGTGGCAACGAATGAATCCATTCGCATCGGAAGAGAATCACATTAGTGTTTGAGACACGAAAATCACCTTAATGTTTCTTCATCAGTCGAAAGGGTTCGAAATTACGTCAAACATGCAATCGAAATCATGGAAATTGTGCAGACAATCGACTATGGGGATCACAATTCGACAAACCTCATCTACAAAAACCATCGAGAGTGCAACAATAGACGGTTGTGTGGCTATAAGAATAGTGATAGGCGACGACGCTGCTGACTTAATGCACATAATCAATGAGATAATTGCTAGACAACCAAACCGACAAACTAATTCAATCAATCCAGTGTAATTAAGTTGTTTTGGCTTTTCCAACCAATCCAATTGACGATCTAGTCGATTTTTTCAACGCATCGAATATATTGGCATTGCGTTTGAAGTTCGCATTTAGCGCAACACTGCAACACGAAGCACGAAGCCAGAATTCTATGTATACAGTACTTTGAAGGGCATAAGTGTCCAGTTTATTGCTTTGTACCGCTGTTTTCGCAACGCGATTTCATGTGAAAACCAACCAACAACCACGTGTAGTAACAAGCGTGATTCCCATATTTTGTTGTCACATTTCTATGTCGCTATTCATAAGCAGCGAATTTTTCCAAGTGCGCACACAAGTCGGAACTGCTTTAGTCGGAATAAACTGGTACGAATTTCATAATTTTTTCGATGGAAATCGTCATATTTTCTAGAGGAAACTCGTGATTCGTCGAACGAAAATGGTTCACAGTTGGAAAGAAAGTTATTGGACTTCTGAAGGGCTTTGAAGAATTTTTGCTTAAAAAAACCTTCCTTTCTTGAAGAAATGATATATTTTTGGCGTATAAATGAGAGTAGAAAAGTTTGTACTAAAGAAACGATGGTTGAAACACATTTTTGTCCTGCAAATGGAATTTTTCATGCCAATCGAAAGTCAGAACTGTTAAACTATCAACCCGAAACTTGATGCGCAACGTCTAAGATGTCAGAGCTACTCAACTTTCAACTCAAATCCGATTCAAAATACATAAATCGTGTCGTCAAAATATGCGCTGCACAAAAAAAATGTGCCAATATGTTGGCATTGGCCGTCGAAAAGTTCATTGATTTCGGTGGATCGTGCCTGTGAAATCCCTGGGAATTGGTGTAAAATTTTTGTAAAAACGCGCGAAATTTGAAGCGCGCACATTACTTGAATTTTCTTTCATCCTCGTCAATCCAATATCTAAATGGTTCAATGACTGTGCAACGAAAATAAATCGACTTAACCTAAGCACAAAATAAGCGGCGGACAATTGCAACAATCAGCTGAAATTAAAAACCATAACAATTTGTACCGAATCCAGTGCGTATTTACGCCGTTCATTTTTTTTCTTCCTACAGCGATTGCATTCGATTTCGTGTATTATTCATTGTTTTTCTTAGGCAGCAGTGGCGAGCTTCCAAAACGGTAAATAAGTAATAATGCGAAATGTGCCGTTGATTCACAACAATAAACGTGAAAATCGAAGTGTAAATAAATAAAGTCGAAAGTCACAAACAAACACGATGTGAAGAGGGCAAGAGAGCGAATAAACGGACCAACCGAAAAAAAGCAGCCGACGCATGCAAATTGGTATGACAAAAACAACAGTGTGTTTTGAATCATGTCTTCGATATCACACCATTCGGCCAAGTCATGGTATGATATCATTCTCAAATCACACCAATTTTTTCCCCGTTGCTTCTTCTGAATTGCATTGGATGGATGGATCGAAGAATGGCAAATGTTGTTGATTTTTTTTTCAAATTTCGGGTGTACATTTCATTGTGTGTGCAACGTATAACGGCTGTCGTGCGCTCGCTGACAAGCGATTCGATTTCATCCGTTCAAAAACCTTCGAAATTCATTCACCTTCGTTCAGCGATATATAGTCCGTTTTCACTTCAGATATCAACTCTCCCATATCGTGCACTTCATCGCAAACCATCAATGTTTTTCACTATACTTTTTGGGCGATTTTGAGAAAAAAAAACGAACCGTCTCAATCAAAATATTATTATTTGGACAGAATGAATACCCATTTTGTTCTCGGTATTTTTATCCATTTTTTTCTTGTTCTTTTTCGATTTTTTTCATTCTTCTTCTTTTGGTTCAATTTCCACAAACAAAATGAACGCACGAAAGAAAGTGCGAGTACCTAATTGCGATTGGTGAATGAACGAAGTATGAAAAAAAGCGAAAATATTTGCATAAAACTGGGAACATTCTGCTTCATATTCGGATTTCTGGGTGTTCAGGTTGAATCAAAACATAGCCCGTGTATGTGTGTATGTATGGTGGTTCCTGTGAACATTTCGGCCGAAAATATTTTTTACGCAACATTGTAATTAGCGCGGTTGAAAAAGTGCATGTTTTGGTGTTTATTTTTTGTTCATCGTGTTTTCGATTTAAATCGCTTCTTCGATTTTGAGGCGGATATATTTGGATATATTGAGTTTATGCTCGTGCTCGCGCTCACTCGAAATTCTGCGAATCAATTGTTGCGAGTACGAGCGTGAGCGCGCGCTTTCGCGTTCACATAACAAAACATGAGATCGATTGGCGTTTTTTTTTTTGGTCTTTGGAA